GTTTTTTCACTCCAATGCTAATTGAAAGTGGATTAAAATTTGCATTGTATATCAACGCAATGCACCAACGAAACCCTTCTGAGTAGATTAATTTTTGTGACCTGAGTACAAAAGAGTAATATTACACGGTTTTGCACTGAAGTCTCCAGCTGCTGCATTTGCACGCTCTTTGTTGACCCTTTTTAGCACAATACCATGTACCACCAATTCTAAATGTCATTCTTTCTGACCTCTTGGCAACTCTACGCTGTGCAGTTTTCCGTGCCTAACCCAGGTTTCTATTATACGATGTCTCAGGTTTTTTTAATCACAGCTAATACCTTTACCTTACAACTAAGTGCCACAGACATTTAACTCTGCTGTTAACTCAGCATTCCCCAGCCTGTTTGTGTGTTTCTGGCACTCAGGTAGGCAGCAGGGTGTCATCAGGTGCTGCTGCAAGCCACCGAGTCTCACTGGAGTTAAGGAGGGACAGACGGAGGAAAGGGAAGCCCGCGTGCCTCCAAGTTACTAAAGTTAGGGCAAAAGTTCTTATTAAAGAAGTTCTGCGAGAACATGAAGTTGAGCAGCGTGCTGAGAGGCAGACCAAGTTCTCCATCCTTACAAGGAGCTTCGAGCCGGCAGCGATGACTCTGGGAGAGACAAGTGTTGGGTGAAGATCAGACAGTTGTTACCGCACCCGACCATCTGCCTTATTTCTCTGTCAGGCGCTGCCTCTTAGTGGCAGGGAAAACACAACCGCTTGTAAATCAGCCTTTCAGCTCCTGCAGGTGACTGAAATTGGTTTCTACCATCACATACAGAGATAAAAAAAACATGGTGGTACTGTCTTTCTGCACTGCTGGCTTCCCGAGGATGCAGATGTGAGGAAAATCAAAGGAAGCTCCTGAACATATTGGGTTAAGTCTCACGTAGCAAAAAAATGACAGTATTACATTTGTCAGCCCACTAGTAGACATCTTCAGAGTTCCCAGATTGCAATACTTTAATTATCTGTTAATTTTCCTTGTCAGTGAAATTATTCCTTAAAAAAACCCCACAAACCACCCAAGAGAGACATTAATTTACGGATGGCATAAGTATTCCTTGAGTGTACCTGCCTACCAGCCTGTCTCAAACTGGAGGTTTCCCAAAACCAAAGCATGTAGCTCACGACCTGCTGTCAAAGTCAGCTTAGTGTAACTGTCTGTCCCTGCTGAAGTGGGACAAATCTCTCTTAGCACACAATAAACCACATTCCAGTAATGCTTTCCAACTAAGAGCGAAATGCCCTCTTCTCCTCCTCGCTTCCCTGCATGCCATTCTGTTCTTACCACAGTAGTGATTGCTGTTGGTATGAAGGTTTCTGGGCTCAGTATGAGCCAACAGCACTAGAGGAAACGGTCTCAACAGTGCTGGCCTCCGTGTTGCTGACCACACAGCGAGCCTCCCAGAAAATCCTCACGCAGGACCTGCCTGCCTGCCCGTGGATTTGATTCTTTGGGAGGACAAGACAGAACTCTCCCCCCCTCCCCCACCAGCTCCCTGTCTTTTTATTTGAGAGAATAAAACAGAACTTTTCTGAGGAAGTTTCTCACAAACAGAAGTTAAAAAAAAAAAAAAACAAACCAGAATTGAACACAGAGATGATATGAACCTAGTTCAATAGCATCAAAACTGAGATTTTATTCCAGCTCTACTTGTGGAAGCCTGAACATGAGAAGTTGGCATTACAAGATGAACGAAGTTTGGCCAAGCAGAGTTCTCAAGCTAGCAACCACAGAGCTGCTTCTGGAGCCTTCCCACTGGTGGCTACAAGAGGAACACATCTTATTCCCAGCAGGTCTTCAGGAAGGTAAGAATCAAGAGAAGACTCTCCTAGGCAGTGCTGTATTTTGGAGCCAGAAAGACACTGCACAGCCTTGCATGTCATTTCTCCAGCCTCTCACACTACTGGGTATCAGCAAGGTGTATGTCTTTTCCCCAGCCTGCCAAAGGTGTTCGAAGCACTTGGTTACATCTCCGAGGAGTTTCTCCACCTCAACTCGACAAGCTAAATCCAGACCTATCCTTGGTTTAGCCTGTGATTTTGTTACAGTCATCTGGAAAGAATATCTTACTTCAGAGACAAAGCTGACGCAATTGAGTATGAAATGCAAGAGGGAGCAGAGAGATTCAAAGAAAAACAAGCCCTTTTTGTAACAATCCCTCCCTTCTCTCTGAGAAGCAAATGAGTATTGAGAGTCATCACAGGTGAAAGCTGCTCTGTAAAGGAACAATTACATTGGAGCACATGGAGCATAAACATTTGTGCACCAGAAGAAATGGCCGAGTAGGAGTTCAGCAAACAGCATATTGAAGTACTGAGGCCTGACAATAGGCCTTGAACTAAAGTTGACCTCCAGATGAACCTCACAACCCAACAATATATCTAATAGGCATAGTACTAATCGCATATGCAACGTATTACTGATCTATTTTAGTATGAATATATATATGTACTTTGATGCTAATCTATAAAGCTTTGCTGTAACCAGCAGAACAATCTTTCTTTATTTAGAGGCATGTTACTTGTTGAGAGATATGTGGACAAAGCCAAAATAGATAGAAAAACTCTCTTGGGTTCCTCCTTGAGCCCTGGCCAGGCTTTGGGTGGAATCCAACAGAGAAGGCGACACCAGATGTTCCTACATTTGAAGTTTTGAAGCATCTTTATTATTTATTCAGCTGTATAAAAGCCGGGCCCTCTTGCAGCGACTTTGGAGACCTCACCTACAAGTGGACACACTGTGTAGGACCCCCCCAATTGCTGGGAAAAGTTCTCCAAATCCTCGCTGCAACCGGGGCTCCCCAGCGACTGTGGATCTGGATGATGGTAAGTATTAGCATAATTGGTGATATATTTTTCTTAATCACTATAGTTAACCTTATGTAGTAATCATTAGGTGCGTTACCTTGTTTTGCTTTACTCTCACTATATTATTTCATGATTAGGTGCATTAGTTGGCTTATTCTCTTTGCTGCCTAAAACTAGAGTATAATAAGCTTATTGTTTTAACTAAGTGCATTACCTTATTTTCGTCTTACCTTGAAACAGATAGTAAAATAAACCTACTCTTTTTGTTGGTGACTGTGTCCTTTCTCTTGAGCCTGTCAATTGGCAAAACACATACATGCATCAAGCCGAGAGAACAAGAACAGTCACAAAAGCCAAGAATGAACACAGGTAAAAAGCAAAGAACTGGCAGCGCTCCCTGGAGCGCTGAGAGCATCCCGGCTCCGCCACGGAGAAGAGCATACCACAAATGCAAAGCAACAACTGTGTGCTTACAACTCAACCTGGCTCTGAGCTGCCTTTGTCAAAACAAAAAGGCTGCAGGGATCTTGCAGCGTTGGCACCGATCAAGAACCAGGGAGACAAGTTGAGGATGTGATAGCTAGCCGTCCCTGTTCTCTGTGCCACCACAAGTGATCCTGGTATCTGTGAGAAAATGAAATCAGTTTTGTTTAAAAAATGAGAGCGCCTTCCCCTTCTGTGTTGTGTGATCAGACAATGGGTTTGGCTACATTTATTGTGGCAAAGTGGGAGGACAAACGGTATCAGGAGAATAGATGGAAGTTACTCAAGTTCCATTAGGTCCTGAGGTAAGAGCCATCAAGTCTGCAAAGAGGAGGTTCAGGAAGAAAGAGCAGTAACTCATGCTAAAAAGGTGGGTAAGGGCAGAAGAACTGTCTCAAGCCAAAAGAGAAGACATTTAGATTATATTCCAATTTACACAAGTGTACAACTTAGACCTTTGCACAAGCATGCACATTGCAGGCTCAAGACAAACCAACCTTTACTGTTGTGGTTCTGAACAGAAGCCAAGTAGACTGCAGAAGCTGTACATTCTATGAGTTGGTGTGATAAAACAGAGATTGTCAAAGCCAAAGCATGATTAAGCACGATATAAAGCTTACAAGGTAAGCAAGTCACAAATTAAATAGTATTTAGATGACTAATTGCATATTACTGCATAATAAGTTACAGTCACCAGAAGTCCCAAATATTCCTTTCAGACTTCTGACCCAAGTCAGAAAAGTTAAATCAAACTATCCAAAAGCCTGCGATTAAGAAAAAATATTGTGCCGATCCTTTTCTACTCTTGCTGTGATGTACAAACACTTATCTATGCACGCCACCACCATTGGCAACAGCAAAGCAATTTCAGTCCCTCACTCAGGCAGCTTCATTCATGAACTTAGCTGAAAACAAGACTTTCGTAAACCCTCAGTAGAATAGGACAGGCCCCAACCGTACCTGCAGTGCACAGCATGCCAAATGAATTGCGGTGTGGAAGCTGGAAGGGAACAGATCCTGAATTTCTGTTGTATAGAAGTATTGCTTTTTTTGAGCATCTACTGTGGTAAACACGTCTGGAAGAAGGTTAAGTCAGTAGCCTTGGTCACAAAATATCCTCTCTTCAACCCCACTCTTACAGAGCCCAGTAACTGTGCTCTATCCATTCAAACACTGACTGCCCATCTCACTCAGTACCTACTCTACAACTTTTGCCAGCAGGAGCTTTGAGAATTGCTACTTGTTCTACCAGAAAAGGTTTCTTTCGGTGGGGGGGTATCACCTGGGCATACGCAGCATTTGACAAGAAGCAGATGGTGTTACTCTCAAAGCAGAGCTGGCAGAACACTTAAATTGTCACTGCCTTGCAAACTCTATTTGTTAGATGCAATAGTTAGGACACTCACTGAAAAATCCAGTATCTGTTTCAGGGGCTGAAGGTTTCCAGGTTTTGAAGTCTAGTCAGAATGCTGCCCTAGGCAAGTTCAATGCAAAAAAGTTTACGGCACTCCTAACTCACTCTTCCCTATTCATATGAGCTTATTTTTGTACATACGCCTGTGAGAAGCAGGACTACTCACAGTGCCCCAGCCTGCATTCAGGATGATGATGCTTGATTACACGGACAGTAAACACTGCTGCACCTAATGTTATTTGAAAAACATTTTCTCGACACTGTCAATTAGATCTTAGTAGGAAACTGAAGTTTAATTTGCAACTGCCAAGAACCAACACAGAAGGATAATTGGGAGACTAGTAACTGTTCTCCCTTACAAGGCCAGCATACTTCACATTGTCTTAAAGTAGGAGTAAAATGAAGAAACATCGGAGCAAGAAGATGGGTGCTCTTCCTCTACAAGCCTCAAAGTCTTCTGCTTGCCACGTACATTGAAATACAGAATGCTGCAAGCTGTTCACAGGTGGGAAAATGACAAGGGCTCACCAGGTATCCCCAAGATCCAGCGCACAACAGGGGTGGGCATGCGGTTAAGCTGCATCAACAGCACCTGCTGGCTTGTTTCTCTCCAGTGCAGAAGTCTGGTTACCCAGCAGCCACTTTGCAACACAGCCATGCTGGAAATCAGGCAACAGAGCTGAGGCCAGCATCTGCACTATGAACCGCTCAACAGCCACAGGCTGACAGGAGGGCTGGTATAGTTTTCCCAGCTGCATCTCCCTCCATCTCATTGCAATCTTGAAGCTGTGAAGGAAAGAGTATTTATATGCTCTCAGATAATTTCTCCTGGAAGACTGGAGTCTGAAAAAAAAACAAAAAAACCACAAAACAAAAACGCAACAACCCCAACTCTTCACATTCAATGTGCAGATCATATTGTTTTCAATATAGTGGATGTGTCCTTGGAAAGCCTTAATGCATGCTGAAAGAGCACATGCAAACTCATTTGTTATTACACTGGCATATTAACTGGAACGAAAAAGCATCCTGCCCTCCCCTTAGAGTGATACACTTTTTTCCAACATTTATTATAGGGCTGGTATCTAAGCTCCAGGTGAGAAGGCAGCATTTGCAGTTTTCCTCTTTAGCGTGTGCAACTGTACAGAACAGCGTGTGATTCAGCATAAGGGTTCTGCAAAATTAGTCTGTGTAAATCTGTAGCCAGCAAGCAGTTTTAACAGTTACTACCTCAAAGCATGAGTAAAAGTAAGGAGACAGTAAAACAGAGAAAGGAATCTTCTTGTTTTGCTTAAAAACTTTTATTATAAAAAAAAGAGTAGGATTAATAAACCTCAGTTCCAGCAATAAAATATTAAAATCACATTTTACATATGAAAAAATTACAAAAAAACCATCCAGTGACTATTACAGCGTTTTTCAATGGTTGGGACTTGGGCCATTTTCATCCACCATCCACAGCAATCAAAAAATCAATTTTTTTGGTAATCCTGAAAAGTGTAAATCACATTGTTACCACAGTAGAGGAGTCTGAACCCCTCCTCAAGGTTTTAGTATTCGTTTGACACTATTTTTGAGATACATTTACTCTGAGCTGGTTAATGTTGTTTGCCGCTGCAGTAAGCATGATGACTTTTTCCAATAAATCTATGAAAGAGTGCTACAATCAAAGCCCACTTGAATCAGTACGTGTACTCCAAATGAGTCCCAAATTCTGTAATAGTGTTAATTGAATTTGGGATACATGTAAGTACTTATCTTTGTTAGTATAAAAAGCTAGCCAGTTAATTCCACTTTTAAACCTAAGAAAGGCAAGCTATTCTAAGGCTTAACTCTATCCCACCACACACAAATTCTTCATAATTTTTCTTACATGCTGTCCCTACCCAGCAATAAGTTGTCTTTAGGAAGTAATGGCCCTTTTTAGTCTCTGCTTCATTCTTTAACTGTGTCATTGTTAGTATCAGCTGCAAACATGAGGGCAGCAGTACTTTCCTGATTCTATTCCAGATCTTGTCCTCTCACTTCTTCATATGCTGCTGATTTATAATGTAGGTAGCTGCCTTCTGGGGTGGATACGTAGCTTACCATGAAAGGATTCAACTGCTTCTACCTTCCCTATAGGAAAAGGTCTCCTCTAAAATACGCTGACACTACATCATACCCATGAACTTTAAATGAACGCCCAAACAACACACATTCTTAACCTTAGATATGAACAGAATGTCGTTTTTTTTCCAAGCCAAAGTAGAACAGTTCTGAAATTAGACAGATTCCCTATGCTATGTTAACTCACTAAAAAGTTCAGTGCTGTGTCTTTTATATTCTGTTTTGCAAACTTCTGGTTCCACAGAAATGCAGACTAATGCAACTAGAAACTGGTGTCCTGGGAAAGACGTGCTGGTTTTGATTAAATGTTTGTCAGAGTGGAGAAGATGGATAATGATGTCATCATAGCATCAGTGTCTCCACATACCCCACTGATTAGAAATAAGTGGTAGCAATAGCTAGAAATGATGTACGTTTAATACTTTTCATAGACAGTCATCTGTCTAGGGATAGTCTTCCCCTGACAGCTAGGCGGTTGTTTTTTGAGAAGTACAGCTGCTGCATATTGAAGTTTGGGGAACACGCCCCACAGCTACAGGGTTTTGTTCTTATGGAAATGCAGCACTTATGGAAATGGCATAAATTATTTCTCCTGGCAGCCAGCCCCCAGTGCCAACATTTTATAAGAGGGTACCCCATCAGGAATTACTTAGTCCATTCATCCAAGATCCAGAGTGCTACCTCAACATGGCTGAGGAAAAGAGAATATACTATACTGTGCAAAATGAGAGCACAGGCCAGCCTAAGAATTTCAGGGATGCAACTTATTTTCCTTTGAAATTACTTTTGCACATTTCCACCCTCAACAGCAATAAAAGCACGCTGTGCTTCAAATTTTATTTAACCAAAGACTGTAGCATTGTTCTTCCAAACCAATATTCAGATTTTAACTTTAGGTGACAATGCCATGTAGAAGGATGTCAAATGAAATCCGGGTAGCAGATTCTCTAGCTCTAGTATCAGCTCTCTCCTTTAATGTTGGTTGGCACTAAGGAATCTACCTTGGAGACCCTCAGGTTCTGTAGCCTGGCTAAGACAATAAGAGAGTATAATGGATTTTCTGATGTGCTCCAAAAAGCACTTAGTGGAAATGATACTGCTTTTTATACTGATACTCAAATGCCTCAAAAAGTAATGCTGACATTCTAAATGCCTTAGTTACAGCTAATCTCAAAACTCCTGGCATTTAACACACATCTGATTTCCTCTTCCTGAAGAAGAGTCTGTGGGAAAGATGTTAAAGCAATTAGCTTGATACACCTCTGGAAACTCTGCTCGTTGTCAAATGCAAGACTGCACATGGTGAAGTCACAAGACTGAAGGAAGCACTTCTTCCTCTTTCCTATTCTTTAGTTAACAGGCATATTTTAGGGCATGTACTCCAAAACACTACTCACAAACTCCCACACGGTGTTGCAAAAGGAGCTAAAAAGCTTTGGTTAATTACCTAAGCTGTGGTAACTTGACAAGCTCCAACATGTCAGTTAACCCATGGTACTATGGTCAGCAGAGAGCGTGCAAGTAGTCAAACGATTAAGTTTTTCTTTGAGATCAGAATCTTAAAACTAATTTCATTTGATATGGAATAAAAAACAAAGGATCAAAGTGCCTAAAAAGTAAGTTAAACTAATAATGTAGCTGTCTGTCTGAATTCAAAAGTAAATACACTTTCACGTAGGCATTTCCATTCCAAAAAAATACACCTTTTGTATCAAAACAGAGCCTCATACTGGCAGTAACAAAAAGCTGATGCTAACCTGACAGCTGCTATCTGGCTTATTACAGCTATTATTTAAGACCAACTCCAAGTTAAGAACCAGTATTTGCCTCTGTACTGGATGGTCTGAGTAATTTAATGTCAGGTATGTCTCGAGTCCTCAGAGTTTTTGTGGCCATGAAGATATGAAGCACATGCTACTGTTCGGGGGGACTGCGGGCTCCATATAAAAGTTAGAACACAGAACTAAATCGTTTTCTCCCTAAAGCATTTATCCTAAACCATAAATCATTAAAGGGCTTCAGCTGGTGCTGGTGCCCAGGGATATAGTCTGTTCAGAGAGCTTCTGTTCCAAAACATCAGAAGTACAACATTCTCCCTGAGCACGTAGCTCCTGTTTTAAAACAGATTAAACATTAAGTTACCTTGATCTACTCCTTCTGTTCTTTTCCTTTTTAAATTTAAAAGTGCATTTTGTTGCTCCTTTACAGCTTCTGCAGGACAGTTGGGTCTTGGCAGCTGATTTCCTGGAGTGGGTCCTGGACGGTTACAGAAATATTTCTGTTTCAATGCCTTAGACAACAGACGAAAAATAATTGAGTGTCAGAACACCATCTATACAGATATTATAATGAAATAAAGCACTTGCAATTGTGATTTCAAACCTATTTGGGCACTTTTATACTCGAAAGTGGCCTTTGGGCAAATCAAGATTTTTGTTTTCTCCATGACTACCTACAGCACTTGGATTTGTAAGCTGAGAGATAACTGGGTACCATTATTTTTAACTGGTGCCCAGACATCCTGACAAAACTCTAGACTAAGCTTTGTACAGGAGGTCTTGTAAAAACAGCAAGTTTCTAGATCTGAAAAGTTTCCATTATAGATAAATAGATGACACAAGAGGATAAAGAAGAAAGTAGGAATGAAGAAAGATTAAAAGAGTATCTCTGAAGCCTTGTTCAGATCCAGGACCTGGACACCACCTCTAACTTTTACAACAGGTCTTCCCCCAAAATTTAACTGCGCTGTTTCTACACTGTAAAGTGTGAGAAAAATGTAGACTGAATTACAGCAGAAGACAAACACAAGGGAGCTGGGTTAATTTCATGCAGTGGAATTACATGCTCTATTTTGAATTTTAGGAATTCCACAGCTTCCATAAACTGTGGTTAAGGAAAAGAGGCTAAGCTATCTCTTAGGTAATCAGTACTTTTGCTTATGTCAGTTATAAGGCACTCAACGCCAGCTATAAATCAAGCCAATACAATAAGCGCAAGTTGTTTCCTGCCTTAAAGTGTGGCACTGCCAATAAAAATGCTACAAGAGAAAAATCATACATATTCAATATTCAAGTCACCATCCTACAATACAAGCTGTAAGAATAACTTCGTCCATGCAAACTTGTACAGAAAGTGTCCCAAGCATAGCAGGACTAATTATTTGGAAACTTATATTGGAATTTCTTGAAGATGATGACCAAAAAAATCCTAAATGTGCTCTGAAAAAATCTTTCAGTAAAAAGATAAGTAACACATGCGCTGATCTCCTCGATTGGGATCTGCCTTGTCTACCAAGCAATGAGGGAGTCTTGGCCTTAAGGGGACAGCTGTTTCTTGCGTGCTTCCCTAACAGTTTAAGGTGACAGAAAAAGTTTTGAAACCGCCAGCTGCTGTGTCTTCTTCACAGCAGAAACCAATATTCTGAACAAAAACATTCTGCAAGGTTTTCAGAGTCATCCATTTCTCCCCGTCAAGGAGTAGTGAAATTGAGATCAGTTTTACTCAATTGTAATGGAAAAGGATATTCAGATCAGAATGATGGCTTAAATCATCACAGAATTTCATGTTAAAAAAGAATCAAAAAACTTTAAATTGAATTGAAGAGGAGACTGGGTGAATTAAGGATGAAAACCTTTCAAAACCAGGGAATGAGATATGCCATATTAAAACTTAAGTTTCAAGCTTTAAGTGACTGAATTTTGAATGTCAAATATAATGACTGTCTGAAGGCCATGACTCATACACCTTGTAGCTGTCTACTTTTGCTCTACACTGGGAATGGAGACAATGAGTCAGTATTGTTCATGCCTTTCAGAGCTCTCTCTATAAAACACCAGAAGAATGTTCCCAGTATTTCGTAGACAGTTATATGACTTTCAATTTCAAACTTGGCTTGAAAGCACATTTATCTGATATTAACAGTAGTTTAATGAACATTAGGACATAACACAAGTGTACTCTACCTGAGTAGCTGTAACTCTTGTACATGGATTAAAAGTGAATAAGCCTTGCAGAAGACTGAGCAAATCATCACCAGCTGCACTGAAGATATGTTGTAGTGGCATTCCAGGGAAAGACTTAAATGTGACATAATCTGGAAGACTTGTCATCCCCTACAAAGAGAAAAGTGGCATATATGTTTTTCTAGTTAGTAAGAGTTCAGCTTTTCACAGAAAGGGAACTTCATATGGCCGTCTTTCAGGAGAATCACATTATGTTTCAAAAAACCCTGCTAATACTTGGTCACTGATAGGGTACACAGGATCGTTACCTGCCCCAACCCTGTAGTGGGTGCCCTATGTGGTGGCTTTGCCCTGCCCATAGACACTGGATTCTCTGATGGAAGGAAGTAGCTGTTCCATTTTCCCTAATTACTTTCACTAGAGAAATTCACAAAGACAAAAAAACCAGGGAAGTTACTCTGCCTATTCCTCTTTGTTCCCTGTCTCAGAAATACTGAGCATCATTTGAATGCAGCCAAAGCCCAAGCTGTCTCCCTACAGTAAGAATTATCTCAAGCCCGACAGGATACTCTGCCTGCATTGGAAGACAAGACTCTCCCCACCACCTGTGTTAAAAGTGTGCAGGCTTGCATGGAGAAATTAAAGCACCTCATGGTTTCCCTGGTGGCAACACCTGCCCGAGAAACTTGACCAGCAGCTGGAAGCTACAGAAAAGGGAGTTTCTGCAACAAAAAATACATAAAGCTTTATATATTGATCAAGAAGACTGGGAAGATTTGGTTTGATTTGTATTCAAACAATGACATATACAATTCTTGAAGCCCAGACTTACGAATGTCATCAATTATTGAAACTGAGCATGATGCTAATGGAGGTGTCACAAGTATCTCTAGATGCCCTTTCACAAACATACACTTAGCCAAAGGAAGCAAGCATTACTGCAAATCTGTTACCGTGGATTACTTAACCTGGCTTGGAAATACGTGGTAGGATACCTTACAAATTTCAGAATAAGAAGCCCAGATCCTCACTTTAGGGTCTGGAATCTTGACTACAAAATCCAGCAGAAAATATAGACTGTTTTTTGGTCATCAACAGCTTATGTTGAAAGAGAAGTGCCCCAAGATGACTGAAGACCCTGGCTATTCCCTGGGCAAACTCACAAATTTGAGTTGAACATAGCTAGGTTGGTTATCAATCATGCTTTAGATGCCCCTGTGCAGATGAAGGTTTATGGGGATATCATCCCCATGAGACACTGTGGTGCCTACTAGTCAAAAAGGATCCTCTCAGAGGACATTTAATGTTAATAGGCTCTGGCCGTACACGTGCACCCAGCCCCACATGGTCCCTGCTATTATGAAAGGTAGTTTCTGCTGTGCATGTTATCTCCCTGAAGACGCAGCTATAGTTACCACCAAACCCGGTTGTGTCTGTGTAAGTTAAAAAGCCCCCTAGGCATCTTGAATCATGGAACGCCTGTCTGGCCCTGGGCATTCCTGAACAGGCAATGCACAAAGTCCCAGAATTGGTGCTGCTGCCTCTTGTGAACATCCTGCACTGTGCTGCACATTCTCCCATCCAAGGCAAAGGCCCAGCTACCCTCCCCTGCCATTCCATCAGCTGGAGCCTGGAAACCCCAGCTTTGCATTACCCAAACTTATCAGAGATAAAATTAGCACCACAAGGGGCTGGTCAGAAGCCACCAGTCCCTCTGAGGTGCTATGAAGGGCACGGCTTAAATGGACTTCCACCTAGTCGTAGATGTCACTGTCAACGATAAATTGTATTTGTATTGCCTCATTGATACAGGTGCTCAGATTCCTGTCATCCACAGATCACGCGCTGGAAGCGACCATTTCCCTTACACTGCAGTAGTCTGCGGGTTCACCACCCATAGCTCTTCCTGTAGTCACTCACAGTGAAGTATGACTTCCCTAACAGACGTACAGCCCGAGGATCTGCAGTTTTGGGGAAGTCTAATGTCTTAGGTATGAACTTACTCAAATTCGTGGTGCTCAAGGCAAGGTATAGTATCTTGACACTTCTGAATCAAACCACCTGCTAGTTCCAATAAGTACCTCCCCTACCTCCAATGACCCATGTTTTAACTGACAGTAACGCCCTGGAAAACCACCAGCCCAAAGCCCCATCCCCTAGCTCCCTTCTCACGGGACTGGAAGAAGAGGAAGTAGTTGCTGTCATTCACACTCAAACCCTGCTTGGCAGCCCCATCTGGCCAGTGTGCAAACCCAGCAAATGGTTCTTGGCATCTGACTGTGACTACTATGGCATGCTTTCTGCTTCACGCAACAGTCCTAAGAGCTGCTGAAGTACTCAGCACCCTTTCCCTTGCTTCTTACCTACCTATAGCAGTTTTGGGTGTTTATTGGGATATGTTTATTGGGACCAACACATCAGTGGACCAACGAGCAGTGCTGTATGCCTACATTAACCCCTTTGTAGCACGACCCTTGTATTTCCTCACTCTGTTAATATTGTACGCCTTTGGGCTAATACTCCAATGGCTTTCTTATGTGTAATATTATTTCCACATTTCTAAGTCTCTCTATTACCTCCCTTACCAAACTTACTGCATCATCCATACCCATATCAGTATGAATTTATCTTTAATTGAATGATTTTGCAACAAAAAGATTCACATCAGCTATTGAAACATACAAAGAAGCAGGCACAAGAAACTTCAATAATCATAGCACTAGAGATCAAACAAACCCCGGATAGTGTGTTGTTTGGGGGTTTTTTGTTGGTTTTTTTTTTTAAAGTCAAACACAGTTGACAGGAATCCCTTTTAGGATAGTCTCCCACCCTTAGGGGCATGTGGAACATCCTACTTCTTTACCTAGTTGTTATTTTGAGTGGTTTCTTAGTTGTTTTAGTTGTCATATTAGGGATTTGTACTTGGCTTTTGGCTTGCATGCTCTGATGGTTTCTTGGCACACCACCTATTGACTGTCTTGCCCCAGTTTAACCTTCATCACTACATGACCAGACTCCTCTCCACACCTGAAACTCCCAGTGAGGTGGGCAATGTCAACATCAATCTTGGCCTTATGCTGCCATGGCAAGACAACCACCCTTTCCCCCACAGACTTGCATAAGCAAGGAGAGAAAATGTGGGGCTAATATTGCCTTACACAGTTTCTCCTCCATACGGTGACCACACATCTTACATGCCTATAGCTCCATCTGGTGATTGCACACTGCTTAAGGTAACCACTCACACAAAGGAAACAGCACCGAGGGAGAGCAGAGGTGGGATGTGATGACTGGCTCCACGACTCAATTACAAAAGAGGACAGTCTGATCAGGGAATTCAGGACTCCCCGTGCCCGTCAGTAGATCCAAGTCACTCATCAGAAGTTAAGCCTTGCTTCCTGTTGGTCTGCCTGATAACCATGTGTGCCCTGACACTAAGTTTATTAACAAACTACTGAATTTACTGTCATCTCAACAGAGGTAATTGTACTACTAATTTGTATTTGTTACAGTACCATTTACTCTGAGATAAACCATTTATCCTTAAAGCTGCTGATCTGGTGTTTCTTACTGTATGCCAAAACCACAACTTATCCAGGCCAACTTAAGTCCCTACAAATTGTTCCTACTTCTGAAAGTGATAAAGCCTTTCAAGTCAGACTAATTAATCAAGCATCTCAAGAACAATAAGCAACAACCATAATGTCAGACCGACAGCCACAGGAAACTGGATACACACAGAGAGGAAACCAGGAAGTTTCACTACCATTGCTTAACACTAACAACACTGCTAAATTGATCAAAGATTTGCCAAGAGAAACAATAAATCTCAGGTGCTTATCCTCTGCTTTGTGAGATCAGGCAGCTGCCTTCTGAAAATCTACTCAAGTATTCTGGTATAACCTTTAATTTAATTTCAAAAGCTAATATAGAGAGTATCAAGTAACCTAATGTCAGTCTGTTACACAAAAGGACTTACAGGCCACTGTTCCTCTGTTGGAGTGCCCAGTGTTTCAAATATCCTTGTCAGCTGGTCCAGATCAGAGTCTCCAGGCAAGAAAGGAACCTTAAAGAAGGCAACAGCATTTGATTCAATTAACTTCTGAACTTCGACTCCAGAAAGGAGCTTTGATCCTTTTTTTGGGGTTATAATTGCAGGGCAAAACATATTTGTATATCAGCTGCCCACAAAGAAGTATACTGAATAATTGAGGCTTTCTAGAAATGTCCAAACAGATTCTGAAGGTTTCTTGCAACTCAGGCTTGATATCACTGACTTTATAGCAGAGAGCTAAACATCAGATTGAACCACCACATAACATAAAATAAGACAAGAAAGGAAAGACTTTACATCCCAGTTGCCAGTTTAAAGCCTGTTGGTCACAGTGATCTTCTTGTCATCTGCTCCCTGAAGTTTTATATATATTCAAAACATTTAAAGGGAATTGTAACTGGATGACACAAGCAGCAGTTACGACTGATGGAACAAGATCACAGCATAATGGAGAGTAGTGACCCACTAGGACAGAAACTGCCTGATCAGTGTCACATCTCATTTAAACTAGACAGAAGACAGAAAAGGGGATATTTGCCCAGTTCAACTTGTAGCTTGCGCATCAGGCACACAATGCAGTAAAAAGGGACTTTGTGACCACAGCAAAATTATGAATCAGAAGCAGCATTTAACTGAGTAGGACAGAAAGGCTGTAATGAACATCCCTACTAGGCAGTATACTGAATTTTCATGTCATGAAAACCCCTTGAACATAAACTGCATTTGTAAAGCTCCCAGAAGTTGCATTGTACCTCAACCCAATATGCTCAGGAAGAAAAAGGACAGATATATTTAAAATTATCACATTTTCTGCTCTGTGAGAAATCAAATAATTAACAGAATTCAATAACTTATTTGCTTTCTGACTTTCCTTGAGTTAATCCAACTTTAGCAAGTTTAATGCATATTTATGTACACATCACTAGTGGTGCTTAAACAGCCACTGTACATTTCCATTTCTGAACTGCCAACCAAATTGTACCAGCACACCTGTTTGTGTGTGTGATAAATCAAGGCAAAGAATTTCTTTTAAGGTGTTTTCAGACAGACCACTTCCCCAATCTGGTTTACCACATGGCCACATAAACATTTAAAGTATGGCACAAACACCAAGGAGAAGCCACTTACTCATGGACAATAAATTATACTGCAGGCTACTTCATGCTTTCAGCTGTGTCTGCGCCCCTCACCTCACACTTTCATGTCCCCTCCAAAGAGCTGCATAATAAACAGTCTACTTCAGTATAACATACTTAAGGATCTGTGTACTGTACTCAGGAGTGGCACGGGATTAGCATAATGTTAACCTTCACCTTCATTCCAGTACTGTCAACTAACCACATCTTAGAACAACACCAGTCTTCTGCTCATTACAAATACCTGCTCATTACAAATAAACCTACAATTAAGGTACTGGTGACAATTTTTACAGTTATTGGGGAACAATGTATAAGAGACAGAGTATGCATGTATCTGTGATGTCACATTCCTGGAAGGATAGCAAATGAAGACTAATAGAAGCCTGTGTGAAAGGATAACAGGACTGGAGGAATCAGTTATCTACTCATCCTTCCCCAAGACAAGACTGAGACAGTTTGTTGCAATTTTTTTATCCATCTGCTTTTAAAGACCAATGATTGTGATGTTTTTAGAACCTCAGTCTATTCCGAAACTTTACTCTTCCTACAGCTAGCAAACTTTTGGAAGCTTTTTTCCCATCCTACTCTTCTCCTTTCCTAAGTAGCGTACCTGCCTTCACCTGCTGCTGTTAGCAGAAGAGAGGAAGCCCACACACAGAGCTGTAATGCACTGAAAAGCAAATACAAAATGCTTACATTTGAAGACTTACCCTGAGGAGCAATTCAGCTAAAATGCAACCAACAGCCCACATATCGACACCAACACCATACATTCTAGCACCAAACAATAGTTCTGGTGCTCGGTACCATCTGAAAAGAAAAGACATTTTGGGAAAACCACCTGGCTTTGCTCAAGTCAAGTGCTGTACACTGCAGCTATACAAGAACTCCAAAGAGGATACTGTATATTTTTCAGACACTGAAGAGCTGCACTCTACCCTGCAAAGTGTTTTGTTTAAGACAAACTGAACAAAACTGTGCATTCCTCACCAAGGCACCTCATAAAACCACGAATTAACTGCAGTTTCAACTGAGCAGATTAACAAGCAACAGAACTGCAGATGTGCAAAGGAAAAAGTATTTAACAGGCAGATTTGCATGTTATAAACAAAAACTTTCTTTAAACTTTACGTCGAAGAAATTACAAAGATAGAATTCCTTCCAGCTTCGAAAAATATCCATACCAACAGACCCAAGTAGAGAGACCAGTTTTATGCAAAATTTACCTTGACAGCAGTTATTTAGAACAGCTACTTCCACTGCCTAAGAACAATCAAGTTCCATGCAATGTTCTTATACACGCTGATTTGAAACTGCTGTACCATTTCTGCCTTTTGAATAAAGGTGTTAAACCAAACCAAGTTACCCTGCGTGGTTTTATCATTACAGCACATAAAAGGAAATACCTTGCGTATTTTAGAGTCCTGCACTTTAAAGCACACTTAAATAATCATAGCATAAATAACACTAATAAGTATTTTAATTGGCTCAAGCTTTTGTTTTGTAATAGACAATGTGACTAGCTACAAAAAATGATCCTAGGTTTCATGATTCACAGAAAGTAATAGCTGTCTTGCTCTGAAGGCCAGCCTAATAGGCAGATACGTCTTATTTCCATGTGTTTCAAAAGAGTATCATAACCCAGCAAAACCACCATGGAGGTGTATTCTAGTAGTTCTTACAGAGACTTTGCTAAACAATGCCTTCTTGTGTTTTCTTTATGAGGCTCCTGCCATTAAAGCCAGATGCCAAACTTTGAATACATTGATTTGACATATTTCAAGAGACACTGCAAAACAGCTACACAATCACTACGTAAGAAACAAAACAGAATGTCTTACCTTGTTACTACTTGGTGTGTATAAACTCTATTTGGACTTCCAAAAGATTTTGCCAAGCCAAAGTCGGCCAATTTTAAAACTCCATTTTCATCTAGTAACAAATTATTTGGTTTAAGATCCTGCCAGCACAGAAAACAAAGAATGAATCTTGTCAGTGTTAATAAAAACAGACATGTAATGAACCTCCTGGCAGGTGTGCAATAACAGTATTCTGAAATGTAGGCTTTTGATTCTATCACAAGTCCACACTGTGAGAAAAAAGGTTAAAAAAAACCAGGAAATCACATATGTCATTGTATGTTAAAATCATAGTGAAACACACCATTTGAATATTATCATATTTAAGCTGCAGAGTTTAAAAAAACCTCTGCCTCTTGATAATTTTTAGCTTTGCTGCAGGAACAGCAGTTCTGTCTTAACTGCATAATTGCCAAGTGAGTAATTTAAAAAATCTTGCCAATGTTTCAAATAACTCCAGAAGTCATGGAAGTGATACAGCTTAGCACAGCAACAGTGTGTTGTGGGTTGGCATCTGGCCAGCGGTGAAACACCCACACAGCCTTCCACTCACTCTGTTCTCATCCCATCCCACCCCTCTTCAGCAGGACAGGGGAGAACACAAGAGCAGCAAAAGCAAGAAAACCCTGGGAGCAATATAAAGCCAATTTAACAGGTGAAGGAAAGAGGGGGAAAAACTCAAACAAACAAGCGATGCAATAGAAATCATTCACCACCTTCCACAAGCAGATTGATGCCCAGCCAGTCCCCAAGCAACAGCCACCTTGCAACCAAAAAAACCACCTTTCTTCTTTTACCCCAGTTTTCACTGAGCATGTTGTTAAACAGCACGTAATATCCTTCTGGCCAGCTTGTATCCTTCTGTCTGGCAATATCCTTCTATCCAGCTGTCCCAGCTGTGTCCCCTCCCAGCTTCTTGCCCACCCCCAGCCTACTGGCTGGGCTGAGGGCAGAGTGGGAAAAAGAGAAGGCCATTGATGGTGCCCAAACACTGTTCAGCAACAGCCAGAAACATTGGTGTGTTAGGAACATTGTCTTAGCCACAAATCCAAAACACGGCACCATATGGGCTGTTGTGAACAAAGTTAAATCCATTCCAGCCAGACCCAGTCCACAGTGCTAATCAAAATCACGTGTAACTTGCAAGGCTTTTATATAAATATCTACATGATAACCACATCAGTAATTCTTAATATTTCTAGTACTGCTAATGTGGCTCCAAAACAGCTAGCACGAATGCTTATGGACTAAGAACGTCTGTACTTCAAAACTATCTTCATTAGACTTTAGACTCAAATTCTATCAAAAGTGACTTTTGCTACAGCATAGAGGCTGTCCATTTAGTACATGCTTACCCTGTGTAGAATCCAGTGCTGATGTAAATATTCTAATCCTTGAAGCGTCATCAACATATATGCCTTGATGTGGGACTGCGTCAACACAATACTAGTATCCTTTATAATAACCTGTGAAGTATTAGATTGATAGTAAAGCTTACCATGAAAGATTAACTTACTTTCATTCATCTCAAAAATCATTTAATCAGTTAAGACAAAGTTCAAATTGGCAGTCACATACTCTCTACTGTTCTCACCCTTTTTACAGAAAAATACGTCTACTCTGGAGATCAGAAATTGAAATGGGGAGTCTAGATAATCTACATAACTTTGCATAATCAGCAAATGAGAAAATGGAGGGAAGGACATGAAATTATTATTTTATCTCACTTCCAGGTTGATACTCAAACTTACAAGACAAACATGTAGACATAAAAATGATACATGTGTCAATAAACTTGAAATTATGTTCCCACTTACTCCTTTCTCTGAGCAACCTACACATCTAATCTTTGTAAATGCAAGTTTCCTCTTCTATTCCTAAGAAGTCCAGCAGCTATGGCCAACTTACTATATTTTAACAAGTCTACTTATATTTTCTACATTCTTTGACTTTTAAAGTTAAAATTCTATGTAAACATCCTGTTTGAAAGTATTTTCTACACTACTCCCCAAAACTTGCTTGTTAATATTACTGTCTTGCTCAGTAATAGCCTTTCCTAAGCTTTAATTTGTTTGAGACTTAAAAAATAGCTGTCTAAGACTACATAAAATTTAATCTATGCAGCACGTGCCCAATCACAACAGGCTGCAGTCTCAAATGGTGGCCTGAGTGATACCACAAGACAGTTAAATGCTCTGGACACCTCAGCATTATATAGTACAAGAGTATTTCATTCATCTTTGTACACCATACCTTTTTCAACTCTACACGTTGCATATAAAAACCAGAATAAATCCTCTATAAAGTCTACTTATTACTTTAACTTCTATTAGCAAAAAAAATATAATCTAACCTTTTCAGTCTTGCATTTGTCTAGGTTTCAGCAAGACTGTCAATGTTTTAATATTTTAAATGCTAACCCCAGTTCTTAACAGCACATGTGTAATGAGCTAGGTTAACAACCACATTAGTTTCAGTCCAGAGTAGGTATAATGTGTACATGTACAGATCTGACATGAATTGCCATCAGCACAGCATTCCAAAATAAAGAATCTTGAATCAAAATATCTCAAAGATTTCAGCAAACTGACTTAAGGTCTTGGAGAATGGAACATCTGTAAGATGCTGATTTGCAAGTTCTTAGCATTGTTATATTTCAAACAATGGTTCAAGTGTGTGGGATTTTAGTAGCAGCTCATCATGCGGCACACTTTAGTACCACACTTTATTGAAAATGCTCAATGATATTATGCTTAATAATTCCACTCCAGATGCTGATGTATGACTGAGGTTCTACGACCTGACTGTAGTCCCAGAAAACTGACGTGGTAAACATTATCTGTTTCTTGAAGATCATGCTGGCAAGTATTCAAAAGTAAAGGCGTTATCAACTAAGAACTCACAAAACCTGCCAAATTATTCAAACTACTTTTAAGACATGATCTTGATCAGCTGACAGAATGAAAGTCACCTTTTTAATATGGGCAAATGTAAGCCTATTAAAATAGTATTTTCAAAAACCGTTTGAAGATATCGAAATAAAAGGTCTTTTAAAAAAATCTTACCTCAAGATCTGTTTCCATAAAATCAAACACCAAACTAATATTGGACTTGTGTCCAAATGCATCTAAAAGCTGTAAAATAAAATACATTATGATGAAGCATACTCTCACACTTCCCCTTTTCTAAAATTCTGAACCATTGTAGTCTGCATGTGGATTTTCAGTTTGCTGAACTAGTTTAAGGTTTTCCCCTTGCAATACAAAAATCCTTACTAGTTTAGCTTCTTAACTCAGTCTCCAAAAAACCATAATCCCCATTAAGAATGGTAATTACTTTTTATACAATTTCCCCTCATTCTTGGAGTCAGGAAAAAAAGAGAAAGAATTATCTTTACTATGTTAGCTGCAACAGATAATCTAATGCAGATGTTGTCCTCTCCACGAACTTTGCTGTTCCACAAACCTCCTACCCTTTCTTGAGGCCAGACTAAGTTCTCCCATGGATTCAGCTCTGTGTATCTGCTTCCTGGAAGGATACGTTATTTAAAAATTCTAAGCATTAGGCTTATTAACTTCCTTTCTAAGAAATTTTTAGGCACGTACTCATCTTTGCAGTAAGCTTTCTAGGATAATACAAACTTTTTGGAGAATACGCAACTGGGTCTTTCTTAGGATGAAGTTCTACAATGACAGAATCAGTTTCTAATTTGAGATAACACAAGCGTGATGCCAAGTAAGAACAATGGATCATCTATCGTGATGATCAGGAAGCTATGCTCTCCGTGGTGTGGTTCATGTCTTCCTGCCTCAGTATGATGGTCATGCGAGTTATACAATTGCAAGACAGTTGTTTGCACACTTCATAACAGCAGTGACTGTGTTCATGCTCTTCCTCTGCAGGAGCCATGGTAACAGGACACACTCTGCAGGTTGGCCACTTTTTGTAGTTCATGCTACTTACACTTCCAAATTCAACAACAGCTTTATCTGGACTGCTAGGAGGGTTACAACCTGCTTATGGACCTGCTGATCATGAATTTGTCTAATTTCTTCTTGAACTGCTGATGCTATCTGCTTCTACAACGCCTGTGGCAACAAATTCGAGACATTAACTACTCACTGTGTCAAGCAACACAATTTCCACACCCCCACTTCCCCTGGTGCAAATATGTTTTAAATGCATATTTCTAGTACTGTGAGGTTCTGCAAATATCTGTTCTGCATGCATTTTACCTAGCACTTCAGTTTTGTAGACTTCCCCATTCCCAGCCTTCTCCTACCCAGAATGAGAAGTCACACTTTTTCATAAAAATGCTCCATCCCTTTGCCATTTCCGTTGTCTTTCTCTGCACAACCTCTAACTTCAATAACTAAAGCAACCACTTTGAAAGCAAGTTCACAATCCAGAAAAGAACCATATTCCCACTCTGAAAAAGTTAAATAAAACATCTGGAAAATTCATATTAGGTCTAATACTTATGGCAGAATTTCAAATTCACTAATAGCTAATATTAAAATATCTTTGGCTCCAGCTGGGTATCTCTAACTGGAAGTCAACCTAAATGCAACTGAAAAGATACACAAGTGTTACTCCTGCCAAAAGAGGCTTTATATATCAAGTTAAAACCTAGTAAGCCACATGAATCCCGCTTTCCCAGTGCTTGCAAAAGCCTGCTTTTGGCTCTCACCAGTTCCATGTGAAGCAAACAATCAGGTAAATTCAGCATTTGCAAGTCTACCAGAGAGATGCAAAAATTAAGTAATCTAAATTTCCACAATTCTCCCCACTGTTAACATCCACATAACCCCAGTCTAAAAAGTAAGAGGATTTCAAAACAAATTATTTAGTCTTTGTTATTAAAGTAGGTGTTTTGCTGTAATAATTGTTTTACCGCCCATTTTGGGCTGAAAAAAATAGCTCAAATAAAATTAAGTAGTACCTCCATGACCCAATAAATTATAAATTTCAGTTCAAATCTGCACCAAAAGAATCTGAGGACTGATTCTAGAAGTGACATTCATTTTACTTACACCAATTATATTCCTATGGCTTAGTTCCTGCAGCAATTTTATCTCCCTGAGGGCAGTTCTGTTGATTCCTACAGTAAAAAAAAAAATAGGAAAGAAGAAAAGATGAGAGACAGAACAAAATTAAAAACTTTGGACTAAGCTACAAAGATACCTCTCATTCTGTTCCTCACTGATGATTTACTACCACAAACTACTTTTGCACCACTCAGCAATTTGTTAAATGACAAGTACAATGCCATAGATGTACTTGCTGCAGAATAAAAGTGGACATACACTTTCTTCCACAGCGACTTAGTTCTACACCAAAGAAATCAGATTTAGATTATGAAACAACATGCTCCCCTTTGGCAAAAAGGTAAAGTTCTAGCAAAAGCCTAAAGAAAAAAAAAAAATCACCTTTTTCAGAGCTTTGTAAGCCTTAGTTTTATTTTAAAGAAAAGTTGCATCTTGCAAATATCAGTTCTTCAATGTGTCTCACTTCCAGGGGCAGGTACACTGATAAAAGTCATGAATATATCTCTTTTCCTTTTGACATAGCGCTATTTAATAAGGCAAGAAACATAAGCTTTTCTACCTTTGTGCTGTGGCATAAAAGGTACAGTGGCCAAAGCCCGCTCACCCTTGCTTGAATCCTTTAATAGTCAGATTTTATAAAGGAAAAACCAGGGGGAGGATGGTGCACTTTGGCAGTCACACTGACTGCACTGCATCAAACCATGATTCCTGCAGGGTAACAATTCCTCCCTCAAAAATGCTGGTATCTATGGTTTGTACGAAAACTGTCTGGCAAGCAAATGCTCCTGTGGTATGTTGTACATGAAGTTTCAGCCGTGCATGAGATGAAAAAACAGTGTTCTCCCAAAACTTGGCATGTGGTTCAATACGTAAGACTCCAGCAAAAGTTTGGGCAAAGCTACATGGACTGTTCTACACTCCTGCTTTGCCTATTTTAATGACCTATTTTAGAACCAAGTCAACAGTGGCTGCTTTCAGGTTTGTAAAGCCTCTAATTCAAATAAAAGTACACCAGGTGTTCTGGTTCCAGCAGGGATAGGGTTATCCTCCCCAGGATCTAGCAGGAACAGAGGTATTCCATCCCATGTAAGCCATGCCCGGGGGTAGCTGGCAGCTGGGCAGGGGGACAGGGGGCAGAAGGTAGCTGCTGGGGAGCAGACTGGGGCAGGACTGGGTAAGGATGAAGGGGAAGGCTAACAAGGGTGATTTTGTACTGGGAGTCTGCTATAGACCACCCAACCAGGATGAGCAAGCAGATGAAGTATTCTTTAAGCGGCTGGCTGAAGTCTTGCAATTGACAGCCCTTGTTCTGGCTGGGGACTTCCACTAACTGGATTCCGCTGGAAATACAACACAGCAGAGAGCAGGCAGGCTAGGAGGTTCCTCGACTGTATGGAAGATAACTTCCTGACACAACTGGTAGGAGAGGCTACCAGGGAAGGTGCCTCGCTAGACCTACTTTTCACAAACAAAGAAGGGCTAGCAGGAGATGTGGAGGTTGGAAGCCGTCTTGGGCTAAGTGATCATGAAATGGTCAAGTTTTCAATTCTTAGTGAGATAAGGAAGGGGGTTAGCAAAACCTCCACCTTGGACCTCCAGAGGGCGGACTTTAGCCTGTTCAGACACTGGTTGGGAGAATCCCCTGGGAGATAGTCCTGAGGGGTAAAGGGGCCCAGGAAGGTTGGACGCTCTTCAAGAAGAAAATCCTAAAGGCCCAGGAGTAGGCTGTCCCCATGAGGTGCAAAATTAAATGGCGGGGAAAATGGCTGGCCTGGCTGAACAAAGAGCTCTTGATGGGACGTAAGGAAAAAAGAAGGGTTTAGCACCTTTGGAAGAAGGGACAGGCAACTCAGAAGGAGTACAGAGATCTTATTAGGTTATACAGAGAAAAAACTAGGAAGGCAAAAGCCCAGCTGGAACTCAACCTAGCCGTTAACGTAAGAGACAACAAAGAAAGTTTTTATAAACATCAACAAAAAGAGAGCCAGGGAGAATCTCCATCCCTTACTGGATGCAGGGTGGAACGTCGCAACTAAGTACGAGGAAAAAGCTGAGACTTAATGCCTTCTTTGCCTCTGTCTTCAATGATCAGCCCAGCTACTCCCAGGTTTTTCAGCCTTCTGAGCTGGAAGATAAGGATAGTGAGCAGAACAACCCCCCCTATAATCCAGGAGGAAGTAGTTAATGATCTGCTTATGCACCTGGACACACATAAGTCTATGGGGCCGGATGGGATTCCCCCACGGGTCCTCAGGGAGCTGGCGGGAGAGCTCACCAAGCCTCTCTCCATTATCTATCAACAATCCTGGTCAACAGGGCAGGTACCAGATGACTGGAGGGTGGCCAACATGACACCTATCTACAAGAAGCAGTGAAAAAAGGATTCAGGGAACTACAGGCCTGTCAGCCTGACCTTGGTACTGAGAAAGATCATGGAGAGGATCATGAGTGAACTCTCATGGCATGTGCAGGGCAGCCAATGGATCAGGGCCAGCCAGCATGGCTTTATGAAAGGGAGGTCCTGCTTAACCAACTTGATCTCTATGACCATGTGACCTGCCTTCTCAATGCAGGGAAAGCTGTGGACATTGTCTACCTGGACTTTGGTAAGGCCTTTGACACCATCCCCCATAGCGTTCTCCCAGAGAAGCTGGCGAATCATGGCATAGACAACTGTACTCTTCACTGGGTAAAAAACTGGATGGATGGCCGTGCCCAGAGAGCTGTGATTAATGGGGTGAAATCCGATTGGTGGCCGCTCACCAGTGGTGTCCCTCAGGGCTCAGTTTTGGGGCCAGTCTTGTTTACTATCTTTACTGATGATCTAGATAAGGGTATTGAGTGCACCCTCAGTAAAGTTTGCAGATGACACCAAACTAGGTGGCAGTGTTGATCTGCTTGAGGGTAGGAAAGCTCTAAAGATGGACCCGGACAGATTGGATCAATAAGCCAAGGCCAACGGGATGAGGTTTAATAAGGCCAAGTCCTGCATTTTGGTCACAACAACCCCAGGCAATGCTACAGGCTTGGGGAAGAGTGGCTGGAAATCTGCCCAGATGAAAAGGACCTGGGGTGTTGGTGGACAGACGGCTTAACATGAGCCAGCAGTGTGCCCAGGTGGCCAAGAAGGCCAACAGCGTCCTGGCTTGTATTAGCACTAGCATGACGAGCACATGTAGGGAAGTGATCGTGCCCCTGTACTCGGCACTGGTGAGGCCTCACCTCGAGTACTGTGTTCAGTTTTGGGCCCCTCACCACAGGAAGGACATTGAGCTGCTGGAGCGTGTCCAGAGGAGAGCCACCAAACTGGTGAGGGGTCTAGAGAACAAGTTATATGAGGAGAGGCTGAGGGCACTGGGCATGTTTAGTTTGGAGGAAAGGAGGCTGAAGGTGCACCTCATTGGCCCCTACAACTACCTGAAAAGAGGCTGTAGAGAAGTGGGTGTTGGCCTCTTTTCCTAAGTGTATAATGACAGGACTCAAGGAAATGTTATGAAGTTGCAGCAGGGGAGGTTTAGATTAGATATTAGAAAGAATTACTTTACTGAGAGGGTGGTCAGGCACTGGATCGACCTGCCCAGGGAGGCGGTGGAGTCACCAACCCTGGAGGTATTTAAGAAACATGTAGATGTGGCATTTCAGGGCATGCTCTAGTGCCTGAGATTGTTGGGTTGGGTGTTTTGTAGGTTTTTTTTTTTTCTGTTTGTTGAAGTTTTTTTTGTTTGGGTTTTTTTTTTTGTGTGTATGGTTGGACTCGATCTCAAAGGTCCCTTTCAACCATGAAGATTCTGTGATTCTGTGATATGCAAGAATATGGGCAGGTATCTAGAGAGCTTTTCATCTCCAGTGGTCTGGGACTTCACCAGTAAACTACAGGACCCTGATAAAGTGATTGAATATTTGAAAGGAAAATGCTGTGGCTACTCCAGAGAGGCACAACTCACCACACTGTGCTGCGCCCTGGCCAGTATCTACCAAGCACCGCTCAATATTGTGCAGCATCTTCAGGAGAAAGAGACGGAAACCAGGTCAACAGGCAGTGTGGCTACTGCCACTCCTGCAGCAGGTGCTGCTGCTACTCCAACCCCAGTGACAGGCACCACAAATGAATCAGAAAACCAACCCATGCCCATATCAGTTGCCCCTATCCAGAAGAAGAAATACAACAGGAAATCAGTTCACTTAGTGTGGGATGATGATAAACCAGGGCCATCATGAGAAACGGAAGAAGAGGCAAAACCAGAGATAATCACCCGAACCCCTATCCCTGAGCGAGCTACAAGATATGCAAAAAGATTTCAGCTGACTTCCAGGTGAGCACATTGTCACCTGGCTGCTCCAATGCCGGGATAACAGAGCCAGTAGCTTGGAACTGGAGGCTAAGGTAGCCAAGCAGCTGGGATCCCTGTCTCCGGAAGGGGGCATTGACAAAGCAATTGAAAAAAAGACACGAGCCCTCAGCCTTTGGAGGTGACTTCTGTCAGGCATGAGGGAAAGACACCCCTTCATTGAAGATGCTGTATTGTCATCCAAGCAAGTGGACCACCATGGAAAGAGGTATCCAGTACCTGAGGGAATTAACCGTGTGGGAGATGATTTATTATGACCTGGACAGTGCACAGTTACCCACAGATCTTGATGAGATCCAATGCCCAAGGTCCACGTGGCAGAAGTTTGTATGGAGCACACCATCTTCGTATGCCAACTCACTGCCAGGAATGGAATGGAAAGGCGAAGAGAGACCGACAGTGGATATGGCAGCTGCCCAACTTTGGCGGTATGAAGAAAGCCTCTCTTCTCCCCTTGTCTCAGCTGTGGAGAAACTGTCCTGGAAGGTCCAGCAACTTGAAGACACTATGTCCTTCTCCCCACCTGTATAAGCCAGTATCTCAGCTGTTATGAGCAGACATTTCTTGACTCAAGAGAGAGAATACAGAGGGTACACACCCTGTGGTCCTGCCTGCGTGACCATGAAGAGGACATGAGGAAGTAGAACAGACAACCTACTTCGATCCTATGGGCACAGGTACAGGAGTTGCAAAGAAGAGCAACCGTAAAAAGGGATCCCTCCAGGAAAAGTGCCACCCCAGTTTCCAGTGGGTGGTTCCCCAGACAGAGTAGAAGGCCTGATCTTACTTCTTATCCTCTTGAAGGAACTTCCAAGTCATTTCTGCAGGAAGTGGGTAATGGATTCTATGACCAGGATTAGAGGGGCCCTGCCCAGGTGAGGGGAAAGGGATAACTGGGTTTATTGGATGGTGTGGATTTGATGGCACATGGCACATCAGACCTGCAGGAGTATAAGGCTTTAGTGGACACAAGCACACTGTGTATCCTAATACCATCAAGCTACAGAGGGGCAGAATTCATTCATATTTCTAAGGTGACAGAGGGATCCCAAGAATTAACTGCACTGGAAGTTGAGTTGCGCCTAACTGGGAATAAGTGGCAAAAACATCCCATTGTGACTGGCCCAGACACTCCATGCATCCTTGGTATAGATTATCTCAGGAGAGGGTATTTTAAGGACCCAAAAGGGAACTGGTGGGCTTTTGGCATAGCTACCTTGGAGGCAGAGGAAGTTAAACAGTTGTCTACCTTGCCTTGTCTCTTGGAGGACCCTTCTGTTGTGGGACTGTTGAGAGCTGAAGAACAACAGGTGCCAATTGCTACCACAACGGTTCATCGGCGGCAATATCGAACTAACCGAGACTCTCTGATCCCCATCCATGAGCTGATTCATCAACTAGAGATTCAAGGAGTGATCAGCAAGACTCGCTCACCCTTTATCAGTCCCATACGGCCAGTGTGAAAATCTAATGGAGAGTGGAGGCTAACTGTGGACTATTGTGGCCTGAATGAAGTCATGCCACCGCTGAGTGCTGCCGTGCCAGACATATTAGAACTTAAATACAAACTGGAGTCCAAGGCAGCCAAGTGGTACGCCACGATTGATATCACTAATGCATTCTTCTCAATCCCTCTGGCAGCAGAGCGCAGGTCACAATTTGCTTTCACTTGGAGGAGCGTCCAGTACACCTGGAATTGACTGCCTCAGGGGTGGAAACACAGCCCCACCATTTCACACGGACTGACCCAGACTGCACTGGAACAGGGTGAAGCTCCAGAACATCTGCAGTAAGTACACTGACGACATTATCGTATGAGGCAACACAGCAGAAGTTGTTCTTGAGAAAGGGAATAAAATAATTCGAATCCTTCTGAAAGCTGGTTTTGCCATAAAATGAAGTAAGGTCAAGGGACCTGAACAGGAGATCCAGTCTTTAGGAATAAAATGGCAAGATACACGCTGTCAGATTCTAATGGACGTGATCAATAAAATAGCAGCTATGTCTCCAGCAACTAGTAAAAAGGAAACACAAGCTTTCTGAGTCATTGTGGGTTTTTGGAGGACATGTATGCCAGATTACAGTCTGATTGTGAGCCCTCTGCATCAAGTAACCTGGAAGAAGAACCATTTTAAATGGGGTCCTGAGCAATGACAAGCTTTTGAACAAATTAAACAGGAAATAGTCCATGCAGTAGCCAGTCCAGGCGGGACAAGATGTTAAAAATGTGCTCTACACCACAGCTGGGGAGAATGGCCCTACCTGGAGCCTCTGGCAGAAAGTGCCAGGGGAGACACACAGTCGACCCCTAGGGTTTTGGAGTTGGGGATACAGAGGATCCAAAGCCCACTATACTCCCCTGCCCAATCAAAACTTCCACATACAGTGGAAGGAGATATAGTCCCCATAGTGCATATGAAGAATATGTTAGGGAAGACCATCTGGGTTAGTCCTGCCTCAGGCAAAGGCAAGCCAATCTGTGGGATTGCTTTCACTCAACAACCTGGGTGGGTGACACTGAAGGACGGGGATGTTTGATGTGTACCTCATAGAGACCTGATTTTGGGTAAGAATAGCCAATGAACGGAACTGGATGATGTTAATTGCTAAATGACCTTGCCACTGTACATCCTCATTTCTGTAACTGCTATTGGTTCTACTATAATAAGGATCACTCAAACCAATGTTTAAAAACTACACTTAGAGCAATGGGTGGTGGGACTTTACAGCACTGGGATACCCATTTAGCAAAGGCTACTGTGCTAGATAACACCAATCAATTCTTCCCTCACGGCCATGGTGTTGAGGGGAAAGCCCTGAGAAAGTGGCTGCCACATGGCTCTTTGTTTCCGTCTGCGGGCAAACCACAACACCAGGTTATCAGATAGCACAACGAAATCAGACACAATCGTTATCTTTAATAACATCTTCGAACTATAGCTATAAATTGCATAGGCCAAAAGTAATTACTATCCTTAAAGGATTTTAGCCCAGTGAAGGCCAGAGGGATCACGACTCTCTGGCAGCCAGCTCAACTGTGAGACTTAGGGATGACTGCCCAGCTTCACTTCAAAAACTCTTCCCTTAGGATGGAGAGTTCAGAGCAAAGATTCTTCAGTGGAAAGTTGGTAAGCTGATGCAGGATCCCTGAAGGATAACAGCCTACACATATACAAAATTCTACTGCACCACACAGGCTGTAAGAGAAGACCAGGATTACTGGGTTTTTACTTAAAATATTCATGCCAAGAGCACATGAACAAAAGACACTGCTCTGTGGGCCCGATTTCCCAATATAAAACAAACCCACACAGAGGCAAGAGTTTTAAGATCTTGTTTTTGTTAACTTTTGTCTCAGCATAGATCACTAAAATAGAACGAGGAAATATCTGAAAACAGAGATAAATACTCTCACCTGTCTTGAATATGTAAGGCACAGAGATGCATCAATACAATAAGGTATTCCAAACAAGTGCTGTAAACCTTATTATTGTATGCTATATTCATATTTGTATTCCACTTAAATCAACAACCTAGTCACTTATCTACTCATATTTACATAAACTATGCATGCGCATATCTCTGCTGCTTTATTCTGTCCCTGCAGCTTGGGAAACAATCCCCTCACACTTACATTAAAAGAGTTGAACTCATTTTTCTCATCCAAGTTATGGTGCAGGAAATTAATGTACCAATTTACAAAAACAAAGCAAACAAAGCACAGCTTCAGCAGCATGAATTTGTTTTAAAACTCACCATCTTTAGCTTCTGACCTATGTCCCAGTTTAATCTGAAAAAAAATATCTCGTGTTATATAAGGTTAAGCCATCTGCCCCAATAGTAGGGGATACGTTCTCTAGTATTACTCTTCTAAGACAGAATGAGTTTCAGTACCATTAAGTGCTCTACCAGCTAGGGTTAAGGTTGTTTTGGGGTTATTTTCCCCATTAAAAAAAAAATAAATAATTGTCTCAAGAGCATTAGCTTTTATAAATGCTTAAAAAGAGGCATGACAGCACTGAAAGCAGACATAATGCAAACCGGCAGTGCAAAATGCTTTGTAGCCACAAAGTTTCATTATACCGCTAACGAGCCTCTCCCCAGGGAGAAATGAGGGCAAAGTAATTGACAGTTATCTTGAACGATTCTAGTAAAATCAGCATACTCTGTAAATTGGGCTGCCTTAAAATCTTTCTCTCTCAATCGTCTACTGCCCTGAAATTTTCAAGTCCAGAATCCTGCCACTGACATTTCCAGATATTAAAAATTAAGAAAATACTCTGATACAATCAAGAGCATTTCGTAACAGCTGCTACTAGTAACGATCATACAGGAAAATTGTTATAATGCTAAAAGGGTTTAATGTATCAAAGTTACTACTATTGATATAGTTAGACTAGTCTAGTACAGTAGGCCTTTTAACTAACCAAAGCATTGTAATGTGCATTTTTCATCCACCAGAAAGCACAGCTAATCACCTGCTTTTAACACAAAAACTTCCTGCAATGTCTTCAGGTAGTGTGAAGTGAAACACTTTCTGACAATACTGACATTTTCAACTTTTGTATTGACACAGGTTAAGCTGCAGATTTAAGATTACTTTTATCAAAAAACTACCATAAATTCTAAAGAACTTAATCAGGAGTAACTTTCCTGGACTTAAGGAAATGGGCCACAGAAGGAGGAAAGATTAAAAAAGAAAAAAAAAAAAAGCAGCTACCAAGTGTGCTTTTAATAAACAAATATGTTTAATAAATAACTGAAATTTCAAGTTACAGACGAGATAACTGATTCTGAAATGTAGTAAGACTGAAGCTAGTGTCTCTTCTTGGGGGAGGGGCAGGGCGGGAAAGTATTAAAGACAGATCAACTACGACTTAAACAAAATACTTTAGAAGGGAAACCATCTATCCTCCCACCACCCACTAGGCTAGTCAAGAGTACGCAGAGCCTCGAATGGGAAAATATTCTGACACTCACCTTTTTAATGGCTACGATTCGGTTGGTGCTCTTATCCTTCGCTTTGTAGACCGTAGCGAACTGCGGAGAAAGAGAGGGGCCCGCCGGGCCAGCGCCGCTCCCCAGATCACAAAGCCGCCCCACCCGCGGCCTCCCCTCAGGAGGCGGCCCACCGAGCCCCCGCAACTGGTGGGCGACAGCCGCCCGGTACCGCCGCCCTGCCTCCGGCCCTATAACCGCCGCGCCTCCCCGCCGGGTAAAGCGTGACGGGGCCGGGCCGGGCCGGGCCCGGCCGCCCCAGTCCCCCCTCCGGTCACACGCGGGGCCCCCCACCGGGGCCGCCCAACCGCCCCAACGGCCGCTCACCTGCCCTTCCCCTAAAAAGTCGAGCTTCTCGTAGCGCCTGGCGCGGGCCCGCGCGTCCATAACCGCCGCCGCTGGGACTGTCGCAGGAATAAGGCGGTACGGCCGGCGGCGGGCCTTTAACAGCGCCGCGCGCCGCTTCCGGCCCGCCGGCCTCACCCCGCCCCCTGCGCGCGCGCGCGGCCGGCGGCGCCTCGCGAGAGCGGCCTTCCGGCCCCGCGGAGCGCGAGAGCTGCGCTTGGGGCCTGGAGAGCGGCGTGGCGTTAGAGACCGCGGCCGCGTCAGGGCGTAACGGAACGGCAACCGCGCCCCGAGGGCCGTCTGCTGGGGCAGCACACCGCTTACGTTACCCCGGAAGAACCCGCTTCCGGCTCTGGAGGAAGGACACGGACCTCTGGGAGCCGGTCCAGAGGAGGCCACAAATACGACCAGGGGGCTGGAGCGCCTGCCCTGCGGGGACAGGCCGAGAGATGGGGGTGTTCGGCCTGGAGAGGGGAAGGGGGCTCATAAGATGGATGTGTCAGGCTTTTGACTGGGGCCTGTAGCAACAGGACAAGGGGTAGTGCCTGTAAACTAACGGAGGGAAGATTCAGACTGGATACAAGGAAGACATTTTTCACTCTGAAGGTGGTGAAGCACTGGAACAGCTTCCCCAGAGAGGTGGCAGGTGCCCCATCGCTGGAAACATTCAAGGTCAGGTTGGACAGGGCTCTGAGCAGCCTGATGTAGTTGAATATGTCCCTGCTTATTGCAGGGGGGTTGGAGTAGGTGTCCTTTAAAGGTCCCTTCAAACCCAAACCATTCTAAGATTCTACGATAACCTGTTTGTATTTCGCTCCCAACCTCAGATTCAGGGAAAATGGCCACCACGCAACTGCCCGACCAAAGCTGTGCAACAGCTCAGAACACCCACAAAGTCTCAATCACCTCTGAAAATACCTCGGTGTCCCTTTCCTGCCCCTCAAATCATTCCTGATGAGACATCCGAATCTTTTTAAGTAGAAAAATAACATGACCGAGTTAATATTGTCAAGTTTGCAAATGGCTAATTAGAAAAATACTTTAATGGTGTGGACATCAAATATATTCAATTGCTAGTTAGCCGTCAACAGAAAATCCTTCGCAATCACAAATCAATACATAGTGTGTTGTGTCAACCTTCTCACCCTCAGACGGATTTTTATTAAAGCTATTAGTGTACAATCATTTCTAATATTTTATTGTGAACACAATACGTCATTCTTCAACGGTGGGCAACGAATTAATCTTCCATGCTTATTCTGGGCCTCCACGCTGTAAAGGAAAAGCAGACAGCTGAATATATTCCACTAAAAGAACAGGACATCAAGATCAAATCATCTTTAGCACTGTTATAGACGCACATGCAGGAAAACTTGATTACTGACATCATGACACTGTAGGTGTCCTTGTTAACAAAGCTATGCAAGCGTCTTTTCATTTCAATCTCACACCTGCCTCACAAGTTCTTCAAGTTTTGTGCATTTTCCCTTTTAAAGCATCAGTGCTTACAACTGAGAATTGTTACAGAACAAAAGCAGGTTTTTCTTGCCTTTCATGTACAATACTGTATTTAAAAATATTGTGGAAAATATTTCTATCAAGTTTAATGAAATGTTTCCACTACTAGGAACAGTAGTGGAAGACTGTTGAAGGCCAGGCTGGATGGAGCTTTGAGCAACCTGGTCTAATGGGAGGTGTCCCTGCCCACGGCCGGGGGGTTGGAACTAGATGATCTTTAAGGTCCCTTCCAACTCTAACCGCTCTATGATTTTATGATACTATGAAATACAAGAGTTAACTTACTAATCAGTAACTTCAGAAACTAGTTTGAGAAATATTTTGGACTTCAGTCACCTGATAATAGCTTTCGCTGGTGTAAGAGCCGGCCCCTGGGCTCCCGTCCAGCACATCCCAATTACACATTAAACGGCCGTTGCAAAACAGGTAGGACGGCGATCAACGCAGGCTACGGCTATGGCTAGATACCTGTGTGCCTGTTTGAAGTCTGCATCTCTCTACTCAGCAGTACCACAAGCTACTAATTGGTGAGAGCTGTGTATTAAGAATCTGTAGCTTGGGTACTGCACATCAAAGCTGGGAGTGCACCCTCACCAAGAATGACAAGGTGATACCAGATTTGAAACTTTGAAGAAGGTATAGAAATGCTGGGTAAAGACAGAGAATACACACCAATAAATGAAACTTACTTGAATAAACTCAATCTCTTCGTCTGACATAGCTTTCCTTCTGTATTTCTGAGGTAAGGTTCTTGCTAATTCCGAAGTGTCTGGTGTGCCTTGTACTCTACTAACAGGCGGAGTGCTCTGAAAGGCCGGCGATCTGCCTCCTGCAGACTCCTGTGCTTTTGAAGCATGGAGAGGTGGCACGCTTGCTTGTAGAGATTCCTGTACTGAAACCCAGATTGCAAAACCATTTACAGAGACATAACGAGACTGTAAAATTAGTTAAAGAGCAGCCAATAAAAGCTACCAGTTATTGACAATTTTCTTCACGATAACAAATACAGACACTCTACTTGTTTTTATTGTTAAATACATCAATAGTGAAAAAATTTCAACAGTAAAAACATGTTTAAGTGGCAGAAATACTGGTGCAGAAACAGGATAAATCGGCATATATCCTAAAAAAGGCCTTTTTACTGTACTTGCACAAAAAGCATACAGTGTCATAAATGTACAGAAGCCATTATGTTGAGAGATAACTAAAATAAATCACTAAGATCCACTGAGATCATGGGTTTTTTTTGTTTACTGTGACTGTAAAGACAAGACAAGTGAAAAAGAGGTAGAGGCTTACAGAAAGATAAACCTCACATCTACAACATGCCGCAACACGCAATGCAGTGTTGTACTCATTTTTGATATTTCAAAATGGATGATACCAGATTTTGTTAATGATGTGCAGAATGGCCACCAAATACCAGGCATGAGCAATCAATGTTAATGAAATGCAGGGACCAAGGAGTGCACAAAGTACTTCGCAGGTGAGGAGCTTACAGGAGCTAGGCTTAAGGAATTCACGTTAGAGAAGGTGCCTTGAGGTTGCGGATAGGAGAAGAGATGACAAAAGGGCAACATTGTCAAAGTCAGCGTTCTGAACCTTAGGCCTGTCCCACCACAGCTGATTTTACAAGGGCAGTACGCAATCACCCCTCCAGGCAGGACGGAGTCTCACCGCAGTGTTTACCTCATAAGCACTCACACCTCCCAATATTGAGTTAAAACATCAGATAAAGCAGAATGCTTACACAGGAAGCCCCTCTCAGTGCTCCTGAAAAACGAGCAAGACAAATGCAACATCTAAACAGCTGGGACAGAGGGACTATATAGTTACAAATTAAGCAGCATCAAGACTGGATGAGTCAAAGAATGTGAGGAGTTAAAATACCACAGCGTTGCCTGCCTCTCTCCCTCCTGCCTCCAACACCACCAGTAAGGACAACCGAGAGGAGCCAGTTTTAGCCATAGTGAGTCTGAGTCAATGGCAGGATTGGGACACCAAACAACTGCCACAATGAGGTCAAGCCACCACTGGTAAAAAAAATAAGCCAGCACAGAAAAGCATATTCAGAAGTCCTCAGCCAGAAAACTGCATCTCAAAGTCCTAAGTTTGTCAGGTGGTTAAGGAACTACGGAGGATTCCAAACGGAGCAAGGAGGAAGACACACCCCATCGGAATGAGCACATTCTAAACGGGGGCAAAGTATTTTGTTTGAAGAAATAACACGCCTTATACATGAAAAAATGGGAAACAGTTTATCCAAATTTGTTTCGTATAACACAAAAAAGCCTAGAGATTTGCCAAGGATTTTCCTCCACTGCAATTTTCAGCCTGAAGTGTAGTTGGAGTAGATGCATTAAAAACATCAGAAGTCAAGACTCAAAAGTACCAGACTTAATACTGCTGTTGTTTTAGCTCAGATACAGTCTCTACCACATTTTTGCCTTCCCTTTTTGAGACCATCATGCTGCAGTACTAATGAGGTAAAAGAATTTGGCTGGCCTTTCACACACAGACATCCCTAAAAGTTTAGTCTTGATCTGCAGAGCTCGGTTTGGCTATGCAGAAGCAATAGTCTGGTGCAGTAAAATACAGTTATTGCTTCAGCATTGAAGCAAGATGAGGTAGTTTGAAATTTACTGGTGAGATGACAGAACTTGATTAAGGTAAAAAAGTCTAACATATGTAAAAGATATAGTCACAAAAATCTTCCAATGCAGAGATAAACAAGAGGTAAGTAGCATGTCTCCAAGCCTTTGATAAAGCAGTTCCCTGGCATGAGCGGTGGTGTGTTTGGCTGCCTGTGCACCATGTACAGAACTGACAGAAAGTTGCCACAGAAAATGGCTCTCGAAGAGTTCACACCTAAGTCTGAAATGGCACTTAGATGCACTGCAGACACTTTGTAATGTTGATGGATAAACTAAACTTAAAGCTAAATCACAAGTGTGATAATGCTGTTGCAAATAATGTGGTATGGTCTTTCTAAACAAGGGCAAATAACATAGCAGAGCTTCTTAAGACCTCTCCTACTTTAGTTTCAAATGCTGTGTTGACTCAAAAGGAGTATTAAAACTATGTACCACTTGCATAACTTTGATGTCTACATGTAACAGTATTGGGAAACCTATAAATATCAACATAGGTATAAAAAAATAATGTGAAAGTCTGCGATTAAATTATTTTTTTCTCAGCATCAATTAGAAGCAAAAGGAAATGCTTCTTCAAATGTGCAGTGGGATGGCTCTCCCAGATATAATACTAGTTTCAAACATCAAACATTGCATACACCACCTACAAAAATAAAATGTGAGGAAAAAGCAACATCACTTCTGGAAATATCATGTAATACCTGAAGCTGCTTCAAACTGACTTAAGCACCATCATTTCAGGCAAATATTACTATTTGGAAAAATAGGACTTTACATGTTAACATGTAAAGGAGGAAAACAATACCGGAAATCTTCGTGGTCCTGTTTCGACCAAGAAGTAAAAATATGCATGTAAAATGTGTATTCCCACATTTGTATAGAGTCTGAAAAGGAGAATCAAAGAGGTGCCTTCACACTAAAACAACTGTTTCAGAAACCCTCGTCAAAATAAGTTGTGTTGCATAGTTGAAACAGAAAAATTGTGTGCTGCTTCCTATATAAAACAGTAAATGCAAAGAAGTGTGGCGCAAGTAGTATCTACAGATGAAATACTTACTTTTAGGTCTGGGGCTGCTTTTTCTGTCTGGGAACTTAATTAATGGAGTATGTGGCTTGACTACCTAGAACAAGGCAAGGTAGCAGGAGAAACAAGGAGAATAAAATATATTTCTAGACACACATTACCTTCACAACAATAAAATGGAACATACAACTTATTAAACAACCATTCCAATACTGCTGCCTCCTGTACCGCCCCTCTGATAAACTTACTAATGTCTATGGCAGGAGAAATTACACCTTTAAAGGCATTCCTCTACCCTAATGTCCCGAGCAAGAACCAGCCTTCTCTTCCTTCTCTGAAAGGGAGAAGGGTACAAAATGCTACCACAGCCGCATGAATGCAATTATAAAATTCTCCCACACGGAACTGCTAGCTGTGCTATGTACATACATGCCTGTACGCATTTGTTCAGCTAAGTTCCACTACGAAGCAGCTATAAATAATAGTGCTGGGTAGCCGAAGCCGCGCTGCTTATTTTCGAAACGCGCCTTTTGAAGCAGACTCCGCGTCCCACCTTCACCTTGAGGAGGGATGGCTTAGAAAGGTGATGCCGAACAGCCCTCCCTTTTGCAACGGCGCACAAAAGAGTGGCGGCTACCCTGCGGCATCCCTTAATACCAGAAAACCGGGCCACCGGCATCAAATCACCGCCGACACCGGTGGCAGGCCCCACCACCCAGCCAAGGACACCGGCCTCCCCCGGCGCCGCCTCAGGCCCCGGCGGCCGCAGGCCTCGGCGGCGGCGGCGAAGCGAAGCGATCCCTTCCGCCCTCCCCGAACGCGGCCAGACCGCCTCCCCGGGATAGCGGGGGGAGGAGTGGGTGAGTGGGGGGCCGCCCGCCGTTACCTGAACGACCCTAGTGGCGGCCGCCATCTTACTGCCCATGGTGACCCCCCGCCGCCTTCACCCCCGCCGCCCGCGCCTGAGGGGCAGCGCCGGGCCCCGCCCACAGCGGGACGGGGCTCCGCCCACAGCGGGCGTGGGCACGCCCGCTGTGGGCGGGGCCCGGCGGGGTAAACGTCCCCGCAATACACCACATTACTCCAGTTTTTTTTTCGGGTGTTTTATATTTTATTTCTTCCTTTTTAAAAGCCGGCATTCGCTTAGCCCCCTTCTCAACACGGCGCGCGCAACAGCAGCCTGCTCTTTTTTTTATTTCCCTTCCAACGCCGGCGCGATTGTCGCTCCGGAAGCGTGTTTAAAATAACAGCTTTGCCACACAAAAAATTGCTCGAAGTTGGTTTTTTTTCCCCCCTCCCCCCAGAGTTTTCCCCCGAGGGTTGGCGGCGTTTTGCAACGTTGGGGGCGGCACGTAGGGTCGTGTCTAGGGTGGGGTGAGCGCAGTCATTGACAATTAAAAGTATAAACTTTTCAGTCTTTAAAATCACATGTAAGGCTTTAATAAAAAACCACAACAAACCAAACCAAAACCCAAAGAAAGACTTAACCGAGCTTCCCAATTTGGCCTTTTTTCCTGGATGGCCAGAAAGGGCAGGGCCTTAGTTTAAACCCACTTTTACATAAAGGCTTAAAATAGAGATATTATTATTCATTTTATATTTATATTTCTTATTTACTGCCTTTCTGAGGGAAATGAGCTCTTTGGGCAGTTTCGTCAGCTACGCTACTTGTTAAAACATTTCTGGCCTACCAGTAACTAAACTTCATTTTAATAAGATTCGCGCGGCCGCATTCTGCGTCTCTGGAGAAAGCAAGAACTTTGCAGAGAGATTAAAATTTCAAATTCCTAAAGTGTTCCTATTCATCTATCAAAGCTGAGTACACGGGTTACATACACTGCATAAAATCACACCCTGTTTCTCCTGACCGACTCACAGAATATTGACATTTTTTTCAAGCCGTAGAATAATTGCCTTTAAAGATGGATCTTCTGCCCAGTCAACTCCGCTCGCAATTATGATATTCTGTAAGAAAGAAAGATTCTCGGTTAAAAAAAAAAAAAGCCTTTAAAGAGGATTATTTCTAGTAAAATATCTCAAAAGCTGTTTTTAAATTTTTAATTCATAAACCCTTGAAAGTCCCAGCAGTGTTTGTAGTAGGCGGGAAGCAGAAAAAGGGAAGTATTGTTTTAAATCATATTGTCAATACACAGGCAAAAAGCCCTGCGCTGCTTTGAAATTGCAAACACCATCTGTTTCAAGCATAGGAATTTAGAGGATTTTTAAAAATTTTTTTTTAAAAAACCACATAAAATAAAGTTTGCCTTAAACATAAGATAACACTGTCAACATTCTCTCCCTGCCGTTCTGGATTAAAAATGGGAATTATTCCATTTTGGCAAAGAGGACTTGCTCTACTTACAGCTCAGGAGATTTTAAGAATACAAAGCCAGAAGATAATTCTAGGAATCTAATCTAAAAGCTGCTAAGATGCTTAATTTCTCATCCTCAATTTGAGATGTAACATTGTCATCAATGCAAACTCCTAGTAGACACAGCATGCAATACAAAAACATGTGGCTCTTTCTGTCCTTGTCATTCTTCGATCATCATCACAGCATGCTTATATCCCATCTTCTACCTGAAGCCCTCCAATATGTTCTCTTTTCCCCAGTCTAAATTTTTTAAATAAACTCTGTGAGTGCTTAGCTGGCATTTCGTAGCCCGTTTGCAGATCAAACCGGGAGCGCCGCAGTTGCAATTCAGAGTGCCTCCCATCTTTGTACCCAAGTCACTGGTCTGTGGGACCAGGCTCAGGACACCGGGACAAGTGACACAGTGAGAGGCCAAGCACCAGCCCGTGGCACAAGTGCACGTGACGTTCAGCGGCACCCCTCCGAGCACAGGATGCTGCAGGAGTCTCTTCCACCCTGCTCCCAACCCTGGAGCTTTTCTTCCTGACTTGCCGTGACCCCACGCTGCAGATGACCTGCCAGCCAGCTGCACGGGCATAGACTAGTGGGAAACCAAAAGGCTGAAGGATACACCACTCAAAGTCTTTGGAGACTGGCTGTGGTTGCCGGGGGGACACAAACAGAGGAGCCCATGTGCTGAGGAGGGGCAGCCTGAGGAGCGCTGGGTCTGGCTCATGGGTATCACGGCATTAAGACCTACTTATTTTTGCCAACCAACTGATCTGGGGGAGGTGTAGGGGTGACTCTCTGTGTAAGGAAATACAGCCACTGCTGTGACAGACATTATTTGAGAAAATGCGTTATTTTTGTACCTTTAAGGGAACAAAGGAATAGATAGATTGATAGACTGTTTACAGCTCCATAAACAATTATTCCAAAGAAGTCTGACAATTTCATGGTTTTAGCCTTTAAAGCAATAGTTTTCCTTTTATACAGCAGTTTTTCCATTACCATCGTTACTCAAAGTTTTAGAAAACACAGTTTTGTTTGAAGTTACATTTACCACACACTATGTTATCTTGATTGTAATGCAAAGGGGCAAACTTGCTTCTAAAAGCTGCAACACATTACCTGGAATACATTTTGAATTACTGTAGTAAGCTCTCTCTCTTTTTTAAAGGTGTCTTGTATCTTCTCCAGGATTTCACTTGTACTCGTCCTCACTTGTTCCTCCTTTTGTTTTTTCTTCATGTCATGAATTTCCAGTAGTTTCTGTCTTCCGTGTTTTTTTAGTACTGTTCCATTATTAGGAAAATGAAGTGTTAGGAAGTAGCTAGGTGAGCAGTAGAACTAAAGATGTGGTTTTTTTCCTCACAGACATTTAAGGCACTTCCACTGCAATAACCCTAACTTCACATTCCGTGCCTTCCCTCCAATATACCTCAAGATATTCCTTTCTTCCAAGAGGCAACATGCTGTGGCTTCCTGGTATCAAAGTACACCAATTGGTTCCCTGGCTGCTAGGAAAAGAGAAAGTACTTTGTGTGCTTTCTGCATTTCCGTCAGACACGGGCATTTGAACATCTGTCCTATACCACATCTTGGGTTGTCACAACTTTTATAGTCAGAGGTGTTTAAGACCCTTTCCCTGTTTCAAATTTGATCAAAACCAAATTCCAAAGTGGTACAAGGGACATAGAGACACCACCAGTGACTATTTCTAGTTTTTTATAGGAAGCCTGGCTGAAAACTAGACTGAATAAAGCCATCTAGGGACAGTTCATACATCGAAAGAATGCTGAGACAGCATTCCTTCCTGTATTTCTGAAGATACTGGGGATGTTCGGTTTTCCTATGAAGACAGATATTTCATGGTGTTTGTCTGTTACTGTGAACATATACACCACTTCCTATGCATGAAACCAACAATAGTTGTCAAAACTGTTAGCAAGCCTGGTTGCCAAGCCTGGCAAGATTGACCCACTTTAACAAGACTACTGAATACCAACATGTATACTACTGCAAGAGTTCTTTGTACATAAATTGTCTGCCCTTTTTTGCAAACATTTCATACCAAGGTGCAGTCTGACAAAAAAAAAAAATAAATCCTTTAGGTGTTGCAGGATTGATTTAAATTACTAAATGATGTGCAATTTTCTGGGGAGTTTACACTAAATAAAACAGCACTACATTCTTTTCGAGTATCTTCCTGCAGCTCTCGTTCTAACATGTCAGTCTCATGCTCAAGAAGGCAACACACCAGCTCATTTTTACAGTGCTTCCTACTCTGTTGAAAAGTTTTATAACTGTGATGAAGGTTTCACAGTTACTTCAGATGTAAGTTAATACAGCTACAAGAAAAACTTTAAAATATGAACTGTGCATTCAAATACCAAAGTCAATATAGTTAGCACACTTACAGAGTCTTTTCTTTTTAATGTCATTCAATTTCTGTTCTTTCTCACGTGCTTGCTAAAAGAAAAAAAAATAATGTATTTTTCTAGACTCTTGGCCCCAAAAAACATTCAAAGATGCTCATTCAAGCAACAAAAGCAGTTAAAGGCAGCTCTAGAAACAGACTTTTTTACATAGTCAGTTTAAGTAATCATTTCAGTAATTTTAACACCAGTAGAAACTGCACCCTTTGGGCCGCATATTTAGCTTCAAATGACTTGTGTAATCCTGTTACTTTCAAATTATGCTGCTGCCCATGTTGAAGTTGGTACAAGTGCCACTTACCTGTTGATAATGAAGTACTGAGCTGGTGAGCTTTAGTATGTGTTTCATAGTTTCCATGATTAGTCTAAGGGAGGAAACAGTTGTATACCTTAAGACTATTTCAACAGCAGTTATTTGGATAAGACCAAAAAACCCATTTACCCCAACACCAAAATAAAGGATGTTTTTATTTCACTTCAGTTTAACATTTCAAATCACAGACCTTGGAAGGCATCCATTAAGCCCAGGCACTTGAAAATGGCCAAGAATTGAAGCTCTTGAATTATGGCACGTGGCAGGGACATCACAGAGATGCAACGTATTCAGTTGTATTTCTGACAGGAACTAAGTTTCTCATATTATATGTCATATGTGTGCACCCGTTAATATTGGGCAGAAAGTTAAAAGCTAATTTTAAACGTTTGAAACTTTTGAGTTCTGTTTCAAAGGCATGAAGCTCCTACACGATTAATTAACAAAGGCAGCAAGGCAGAGGCAAGGCTCTGTTACAAGCCTGTAATATGTGCTCAACTATTATAAACGCAGGTAACTCACGCATTAAAGACAAAAAAACTTTTGAGAGTTCTTTCTTATGAAGACAGTTCTCAATAGTGAATAAAAAATTATCATCTCTGTAATGAAATGTTGGTTAATTCAGAGCCCAAATCCACCCTGGGTATAAGAAGTCTGATCGTGCTGATTCTAGCCAGAAGGTGATGGTTTATCATTCAGTCTAAACAAGAAGGAACCTGGCTTTTAAAAAATGTACAACAAAGTAATGTAGAAATGTGTCAAATTAAACTGTGTAAAGTCCATTCCTTTCTACCCATCCTTTCCCCAAGAACACCTTACCGTGAGTCATGATCGTTTTGCTTCATTTTGTTTCTGAGGGCAACCATAAGTTGGTTCCTGCATATTGTGGGGGAAGAAACATATAATGGATGAGAACTGATAAGAAACAGAGAGAAGCAGATTTAGATAAGTAACAGAGAGGATATTTTCAAGGTTCTATTTATGTCTACTTTCACGTTGGAATTATATATATAAAATACTCAGTACTTTTTTGATATCATACTTGTTAAATAATGGGCCTTAACTCTCACGACAAGAAAGGTGCATCAATGATTATTTGTGGGAGTGACAATTCCTTTCTCTCTTGCCAAACGTACTCAGACACCATTTAATAATCCCAGAGTCTGCAGAAGGGAAGCTGGGCAAAGGTGGGAGTTCAAATGAACAGCCACGTAACACAGGAGAGGTATAATGCCTATCAGCTTCCACCTTTTCATAAACATTTGTAAAATACTGCCAAGAAATGCAATTACTGATTTATACAGCCAGACTTACACAATTTTGCAGGAAACTTTGGGTTTGCATGTTTCAACTTGAATTTTTTTTTTCTTTATGGTACCTCCATCCACTTTCCTACAGGTTTGATGTTTCTAATCCCTCATGTTTCTAATACACACCATAACACTTTGAAATGTTTTAATCAGAATTATATATATGTACATGTATGTGTGCACACATAAACAAACAGAAAACCTCCAAATAAAGAGGAAGAAAATTCTACCTTTGCAAGGCTAATGTTTTGTTCTGGAGAGAGATTTGCACTTCCTCTGTATCTTGTTCCAAATTTTCTGTGGCACTGAAGGAAAATAAAAACAAAACCACAAACAAACAAACAACGCTGAACAGTGTGAAGGTCACAAAAAGTTTAAAAGCAGTATCACATTTTAAACTTGCTCTCTACATGTCTGAAGTAAGACATGTAGATATGTCTTTCTTACAATTCTTCCTTTAAACCACATATTATTAAGGCCAGTGTTATTTTAGCGTGTGGAACTATATTAGTGAATTCTAGCTATCACAAGAAGGACTGCAAATTTAGAAGCCACATTACATACAGAAATACATTAGAGACTGAGTAAAATACTTCCCAGTGTTTTCTCTTAATTTCCTTTACTTTCACCACACTCCTGCAAAGTTGCAATTGTTAATCCAGATATCATAGAATGGTTTAGGTTGAAAGGGACTTTATAGATCATCGAGTTTCAACCCCCCTGCCACGGACAGTGACACCTCCCACTAGAGCAGGTTGCTCAAAGCCCCATCCAGCCTGGCCTTGAACACTTCCAGGGATGGGGCATCCACAACTTCTCTGGGCAACCTGTTCCAGTGCCTCACCACTCTCACAGTGAAACATTTCTTCCTACTATCTAATCTAAATCTACCCTCTTTCAGTTTGAAGCCATTACACCGTGTCCTATCACTACATGCTCTTATAAGAGATGTACTAAGATTGCAAAATTTAGTAAGAGGGACTAACTAGAAGACAATCTCCAAGCTCAGATCCTAGCCCTTCTCCTCTTTGTTTTAAAATACATCAAAAATTTGAAGTTATCCACTGACATACCTGTCAATAAACTTTTGTTCATTGATGTGATAAAAGCCATTTTCTTGACCTATGGAGAAAGAACATCACCAAAAAAAAATCACAACATAGACTTCTAGATACAGTCCACAGAACATAGAGGATAGAATCATAGAATTGCCCAGGTCGGAGGGACATCCAAAGGCCATCTAGTCCAACCCCCCCGCAGTCAGCAGGGACACCCCCAACTAGACCAGGTTGCCCAGGACCTCATCGAGCCTCACCTTGAATATCTCCAGGGAAGGGGCCTCAACTACCTCCCTGGGCAACCTGTTCCAGTGCTCCACCACCCTCACAGTAAAGAACTTTCTCCTAATATCCAATCTAAATCTGCTCCCCTCCACCTTAAAGCCATTTCCCCTCGTCCTGTCACTACAGGCCTTTGTAAACAGAATCTCCCCATCTCTCCTGTAGCCCCACCTCAGGTACTGGAAGGCTGCTATTAGGTCTCCCCGGAGCCTCCTCTTCTCCAGGCTGAACAACCCCAGCTCCCTCAGCCTGTCCTTGTAGCAGAGGTGCTCCAACCCCCTGGTCATTTTAGTGGCCCTCCTCTGGACCTGCTCCATCAGGTCCATGTCTTTCCTATATTGAGGGCTCCAGACCTGCACACAATACTCCAGGTGAGGTCTCACCAGAGCAGAGTAAAGTGGAAGAATCACCTCTCTGGACCTGCTGGTAGCACTTCTTTTGATGCAGCCCAGGATGTGATTGGCCTTCTGGGCTGCAAGTGCACACTGCCTGCTCATGTCCAGCTTCTCATCCACCAGCACCCCCAAGTCCCTTTCCTCAGGGATGCTTTCTAATACCTCACCCCCTAGTCTGTCCTGATGGCGAGGATTGTTTCGGCCCAGGTGCAGAACCTTGCATTTGCTCTTGTTGAACCTCATGAGGTTCACCTGGGCCCAGCTCTCCAGCCTGTCCAGGTCCCTCTGGATGACATCCCATCCCTCAGGTGTATCGACAACACCACACAGCTTGGTGTCGTCTGCAAACTTGCTGATGGTGCCTTTAATCCCTCTGTCTATATCATCGATAAAAATGTTAAACAGTATCAGTCACAGCACAGACCCTTGAGGGACACCACTTGTCACTGCTCTCCATCTGGACTTCGAGCCGTTGAGTATCACCCTCTGGATGTGACCATCCAGCCAGTTCCTTATCCACTGAACAGTCCACCCATCAAATCCGTAC